CCCCCCAAGTCGGGCCTTCCCTGCAAAGACAACCCCCCTTTCCCCAAACCCGGCCCACTGCTTTTGGGGAAGCGCGCGGACGTAGATCACCATCCACCTGGGCTTTATCGGCCTGCCCCAGCCGCCTGCCCCAGCTCTGATACCGGGACAAAGCTGGAGATAAACCCCCCGGATCTGCTCCAGCTCCAGCAGCGGGGAACTTTCCAGCTGAGACATGGGGGATCAGTCCCCGGTGGGCAGGGGAGCGAAGGCAGGGCTCGAACGGGGCTGCAGGTCGCGACTGAGGGGCACCAAAGAGCTGGGATAGGCCCAGGGCTGGAATAACCGAGGGGGGGAGGGATTGGGTCAGCTTCACGTCCCCAAATCCTGGGTCTGAGTCCGGGGGCGCCTTGGCCTCTGGGAGTTTGGCGATGGGTTTTGACCCGCTGGGCGCTGGGGGAACAACATACCCGATTCCCACCTCAGTGGGGAGCCCCCCCGCCGGGGGTCCCCTCTGCCTACCCCCAGCCTCACTCTCACCTCTGATCCCAGAAGCCATTGCATCTCTCCCCCTGCCCCACTGGGCACAGAGAAGGGGGCAGATGAGCCGGGCGGGGGGGGCACTGAGTGTTTCCCTTGCTCCCTCCCAGCCACGGCCTGACGCCTGCGTGAGACAAGCTCGCCAGGCCTCAGCCCAGTCGGTTCTAACCCCCCGCCACGGCGCCTGCAGCCTCCCAAGGGGTCTGGGGGGGATCCCAGCCCCAGGGCGATGGCTGCACAGAGGTGGGGAGCCGGGATCAGGTTCCCCCCCCTTAGCTGCTCTGACCCCCCCAGCGGCTCCCCCAGCTCCTGGGGCTGATGGCCGTTAGGGGCTGCTGGGCACTAATCTGCAGCTTCAGTTGCACCAGGCCATGTGTGAGCCCTGATTAGCACGGGCGGGGGGGGAGGGGGGCTGTGAGATCAGATCCCTGCCAGGAGCTCTGAGCGCTCGAGGGGCCGCCAGGGACCCGCCTCACACCACCCGACCCCGACCCCACGCCGGGGAAAGGGTCGGGATCCTTATCCCCATGATGCAGAGCGGGAAACCGAACCTGAGCTCTCCCAGCGAGTCAGGACAGAGCCAGGAATAGAACCCAGGAGTCCTGACTCCCAGTCCCCTGTTCTGGGCTAGCAGGGGGCTGCATATTGGGACTGAGGGACAGTGGCAGATCTGAGCGGGGGAGCCTGGGGGGGGGGATAACAGGGGGCTGCGGGTCAGGAGTGAGGGGCACCGGCAGAGTTGGGACGGGAGTGAGGGGCTCTGGCAGAGCTGGGGGGGGAGCCCAGGGCTGGGCTAGCAGGGGGCTGCGGGGTTGGGAGTGAGGGGCACCGGCAGAGCTCTGCCCCCTGCACACACAGGCCCTGCCAGAGGTCAGGCGGGTAGAAAAGGGGAAGTGATTCGTTCCCCAAATCCGGCCGGTTGTGGCTCCTCTGGCCCATGTCCCTGCTGCCACAATGAGCCATGTGACAGCCCCACCCCCGCCCAGGGCATGACCCCTGCCAGGCACAGACCACGTGGCAGGCGGCTGGTGCCAGGCCCTCGGGGCCGGCACTGCCTCTGGCCTTTTGCCTTTGGGATGCCCCCACCGTGAGGAGTGGTGTGGCAGGGAGAGCTCCCCCCATACAGCCCCCCGACAGATCTCCCCGTGCCCCATAGGGACCCAGCTCCCCTCTGACCTCACCCCCACTCCCAGAGAGATATTGGTGGCAGGAGTGGGGTCCCCCATACTTCCCTATGCAGCCAGGCTGTCTCTGCTTGGGAGACAATCCCTTGGCTCTCCCCCTCCTGTGCCAAGCAGGGGCCACCGGAGCTGTGGGGCTCAGAGTCAACACCTCACTGAGTTGCCACAGGGCCATTCCCCCTGCTGAAGCTCAGGGCTTAGGCTCTCATCTGACTCAGGCAGCATCTCTGGGTTCAAGAGCCTTCTCCACTGCATGCAGCTCCCGCCTCCCTGTACCTCTCTGCATTAGAGCTCAGCTGGACCCCCGCCTCAAAGGCCCCCCTCTCTGAGGGAAGGGGCAACCCTTCGCATGGGCCTCTGAGCAGGCGAACTGGATTCTGCTGGGTTTAGAAATTCTGTGCAAGAAAGAGTTAAAGGGTCTTTTAAAAACTTGGTGGGAAGATTGGCAGGGTGGTGGCTTGGCTTAGCGGCCAGGGCTTCGGCCTAGACTGGGACACCTGGGTTCTATTCCCAGCTCTGCCCCCGATGTGCTTCATGACGCTGAGCAAGTCCCTTCCCCCCCATCGGTGCCTCAGTTTCCCCTCCCACCTTCTGTATATTTAGCCTGTGAGCTCTTTGGGGCAAGGACTGTCGCTCATTCTGTGTCTGTGCCCGGCACAAGGGGGCCCCGATCTCGGTCAGGGTCTGGGCAGCACCTGGCACAAGGGGGCCCCGATCTCAGTCAGGGTCTGTGCAGAGCCTGGTACAATGGGGCTGGTTGCAGATGTGCCCATTTCACAGACAGTAAATAAACAAAGAGAGAGTTGGGCTGGTTTAGGGCATGACCTGTCCGGGCCGTGACCTCCCAGGATGGTGGCATCATGTCACGGGGACCTTTTCACCTCCCTTATCAGGCTGTTTGCGTCGTCTGCCCATCCCCACACCCCCCCAGCAATTTGGGGAAGTGGGGCCTGTGCTCTTTCCACATTCCAACCGCAAGGGTTTTTCTGAGAAACGCCCCCTTGCCCCCGCGCTCGGGGGTGGAGACCCAGGGCTGCTCCCCTCCCACTTGGGGCTTCCACTGCCAAACGCCTTCCCTGCGCTCCCAGGAGAGGGATCGGTGTCATCTCCCTGGGGAAACTGAGGCACAGAGTGGGCAAGTCACTTGCCCAAGGTCACCCAGTGAGTCAGTGGCAAAGGTGGGAACCCAGGAGTCCAGGACACCCAGCCCCCCCCCGGTGTAATCACTAGACCCCTCTCCCCTCCTCTAACTCCCAGGTCCCTTCCTCAAGGTGCCTTCTCACAGCTGTTTGGGGTGGGGGGAGCCCAGGGCTGGGCTGGCAGGGGCTGCGGGTCGGGAGTGAGGGGCACCAGTAGAGCAGGGGGGGCAGGGCTGGGACAGCAGGGGGCTGCGGGTCGGGAGTGAGGGGCACCAGTAGAGCAGGGGGGGAGGGGTTGTCCAGGCCCTGTGTGTGTGTGTGCCACCCCTGCTCTCCCTGTAGGATGGGGGGGGGGGCTTTCAGAGCCTGGGGAGGGGGCGAGGGTTATGGGCTCCCACCCGTTGGACGCAGGGTCCCAGTGGTCCAGATGCCCCGGGCTAGAATCTGCAGCGGGGGGGGGGCGGTGTCCGCATCTTCAGCCAATCACAGCCCCCACCTGCTCTGGGGGGCGGAGCTTGGAGGGACATTTACTCTTGATCCCCCCCAATACACTTTATCTGCGTGCGGTTCGCGTCGGAAGCGGGGGCGGGGCTGTTTCTGCACCACGTGCTCCCCGCCCCCCGCACACACACACGTGGCTGTATCATTTTTCGTGTTGCTCAAGATCCTTCGCACGCCTCCTTTCGGTGGCCAATCACGGAGGGATCAATCAACCACGCCCCCCCGTGAAAGGCGGGGTGCCGCTCCCTCCCTCTTCCCCCCTCCCCTTTGATAATTTCTCCCACTGTTTTTTTAACCCCCAAATCTCTCCACCCCCGGCGCAGCCCAGCTCCAGGCAGAGAAGCCGCAGAAGGCTCCAGCTGTTGCAGGAGCAGTTGGCAGCCCGGAGATGCTGCATGCATGCAGATGTTGCAAACAAATGTAGTGTGCATCTTATTGAGGCAAGCGGCCTTTGCAAGCAGGCAGTTACCGCAGGCATGTGCCTGTTGCATGCATGCACAACCCCTCTCCCCCGAGTCTGCGTGCAAACGCTGCATGCACCCAGGGGTGCTGCAGGCCGAGCCGAGGTGGCCATCATGTCCCTGTTGCATGCATGCACGCATGCTTTCTCCCCTGTTTGTGTATGCAAATGCTGCATGTGGGCGTTGCGTGCACCATGAGGTTGCATGCATGCAGTTTTTGCAGACCACTGTGGCGGGCGTGCAGGGTTTCAATGTTCTGCGCATGCAGATGATTCACCCACAGAAGTAGCGCCACCCAGGGGTTGCATGCAGCATGCACCGGAGTGTCCAATGCAGCACGTGCGAGCTCGCAGGATGCGGTCTGTTACAGGCAATATGTGCCCGCCGCGGCCTCGCTGCTGAGCCAGGGGGGCACCAAGGGGTTAATCTCGCTCTCTGCCGCCACACTCAAGATGTCGCGTCGCCCCGCCCCCTTCCTGCTGACGTCACGCCAAAGGGCTCCCTGGTTGCCCCTTGGTCCGTTTCAGAACCGCCCCTTCCCCCCAGGTGAGTCGCTCTGTGCTGGGGGGGTCGGTCTCTTTGATCAGGAGCAGCCCCCCAATCCTGGGATAGCCCCCGCCCCCCAGCCCGGGTGCAGGTGGCAGGGGCAGCCTGGGGGGGGGCTCTCCGGGGGGGTTGCTTAGCTCAGCTCCCGGGTCCCATTTGCTGAGGCCTCTGTGGACCTTGGGCTCGGTCTGCGCCCCCCCCCCCCCCCCCCCCCCCCCCCGCGGGGGGGGGGGGCCCCCCCCCCCCCCCCCCCCCCCCCCCCGGCAGCTAAAGCAAAGGGGCTGGGGGCTGGCAGCCAGGGGGTTAATGCACAGGTTCTGCCCCCCCCGGGGCTTGTAACCTAACGAAGGCCCCGATCCTGGCGCTGGGTCCATTAGCAGAGCCCCCACCCCGAATCCGTGGGGAGCTGTACTGGGAGGAGAGTCAGCGCCAAGAACAGAACCCAGGAGTCCTGGCTTCCAGCCCGCCCCCCTCCCCCCCGCTCTAACCACTAGACCCCACTCCCCACCCAGAGGTGGGGCTTGGCTCAGAGATCCAGTGTGGATTGTGTGTCTGGGCCATTCCTGCCCCTTAGCATAGCAACAAGCGGTGCTGTGGATCCCGTCCATGCACCAGAACCCATGGGAGGGACCCGGCTGCAACACAGCTGCCCTGGTGTAATTAAAACACCGTCCTGCCTTGTCGTGTAGACAGCACCATGTTACAACGTTCAGGTGATACATCGGGGTACAGGCTTACAAGATCAGCGGGACCCGTCTACACCCTGCATCGTGACAGTGATTTATCAGTGTCTGACTGTCACCCCTAAGCAGCCCCTCTCCTGTTTCCCTTCCCGACTAGAAGCAAACCCAGATGGCTCTGAGACTCATGGCGACCGGGCTGCTGAGATGCAGCAGCTGCCGCGTGGCGGGGGTCGGCGCCATCCGGCCCCAGGGCACCATAGCGGCACAGAAGGGTGAGTAGGGGCGGGAGCAGCCTCTCCCAGCACCCCCGAGCCAGACCCCCTACATGTTGATATTTTCTAAAGGGGGGGGGGGGGGCTGGAGCTATGGGGGAAGTATGTGCCCCCACCACCGTGGACCCACTGGTGTCACAAGTCCCCCATCCATGGAGGATCTGAGTCTGTCACAGCCCCACCTCCCCATCCGTGGCTCTTTAGCTCGGCAGGGCTAAGAAGCTGGCACGGGTAATGGGGTGCCCAGAAGGGGCTGCCTCCAGCGTGGCACGGGGTAAAGATTTGATCCAGTGATTCCTGCTTTGCGTCCTCAGCGGAGCAGGGATAAAATAACCCACCTGCCCGGCTTCTTGTCTGCTTTTCCAGAAACAGAAACGAAGGCCCGAGAGAAGCCCGTGAAAGGTAACCGCCCGCCCCCCTGGCTCCTATTGGAAAGGACTTTTTTACCCTGGGACAGCTGCTGAAACTGGAGAACAGGGTCCGAGCGCCTCTACGAATCCATCAATAGCAGAAAGTGAAACAGCCAGAGGGCCGCGCTTGGGTTTTTTTACCGTGCCTGTTAATCAGGGGTTTAAAGCATTGATTTGAACTAGGTGTATTATTAATGACTAATTTGATTCCAGTAAAGGCTGGGCAGGAATCTGCTTTAGTGAATGGCGTCCATCCCATGCCCAACTGCTGATGCTCTCAATTCTGACCCGCCGCCTTGCTATTCCAGCCCTGGGCTCCGCCGCCCCACAGCCAATACCCGTCACGCTTTACTTTGGGGAATAATGTTCCCATTTGTGATCTGCCTCCAGAGGGAGGGAGGTTGGGTTGAGAAGATGGGGTACCTGGCTTGTCATTTCCCCTCTCCCTGCGCGGGTAGGGGTTGGGGCTGAAGCTGTTAGGTGTGCACCCAGCTCTGACTGTCTTCCTCCAGCCCCGGGAGCCCAGTTTGACTGGCGAGATCCCCTGCAGCTGGAGAAGCAGTTAACCCAGGAGGAGCTCATGATCCGGGATTCCTTCCGCACCTACTGCCAGGAGAAGTTGATGCCACGAATTGTCATGGCCAACCGGAATGAAGGTGCCTGAAGCCGGCGCCGGGGATACAGCCCGTGACCGTTCCAAAAACCCGCTCCTCTGCCCCCGGAGCCTCCAGTAGCTCTTTAGGGTTTAGATGCTGACGGCAGCCGCTAGCACCGGGAGCCGTCCGATTGCATCCAGTCTGTGGCAGCGGTGCCCAGACCCGCCCGTCCCAGAGATCCACATGCCATGGCTGCATGCAAACCAGAGGTGCTTGGGGGTGATTTACAGACCCAGATGCCGCCCGTTGTTCTTCCAACTGTTCTGCTCTTTTAAATTCCGTGGCCCCAGGGGATCCGAGATCAGCATCCGACCCTGACCCCGTTGTAGTCAGGGAGTGACTCCAGATTTACCCAGGGCTCACCGAGATCGGAACCTGCCTGTATTTCTGTAGCCTCCTTCAGGGCCCGGTGGATGCCTGAATTAAATGCATTTGGGGGAGGGAACTGCAGATTAACCCCCCTGGTGGGGCTGCAGGGATGGGGAGAGCCAGTTGGGCTGCATGGCTGGAGCTCCCAGTCCCGAACTGCCGGGGGGGGCAGAGGACGGTGACTCTGCCTTTGGCACTCACAGACACACTTCTGTGTCTCCTCTTCCCAGTCTTTCACCGGGACATCGTGTCGGAGCTGGGGGAGCTGGGAGTCCTGGGCTCCACCATCAAAGGTGAGCTGGACCCAGGAGGAATTCCCCTCCGGGCAGGGCTGGGTGGGTCACTGGCTGGGACCTGGAGCGGATCTCAGTTCGAGGACAGTGCAGGCCATGGAGAGAGGGGTTGGCACGCCACGGGGAGGGATCTCGCCAGCTGACACGGGGCAGAGGGATGGGGGACACGCCCCTGAGAGCTCTCCTGAAGCAGACTGGCTACCCCTAGGGACAGTCCCGAGAGCTGAGCTGACCTGTGCTCACCTGGGACTGTGCAGTGGCCACGTCCCCTCCTTGCCTTCACGTTCGCCCCAGTCATGCCCCCTCCTGCCCTGGCCACGCCCACCTCTGCCCCACCTGGGATGCCCCCTGTGGCTGATGGGGGTACAATGCCTCCTGCCCTGTGAGGGGGAGGAGTTGCACCAGTCCCGAGGCCCTTTTGCTCCAGCCTGCGTGGCAGGAAGGGACCACATGGCTGTGCTGAATTGGGCTCCCCAGTATCTGGGGGCCGATTCTCCAGTGGCGGCTGTGGCATCTCTAACCCTGTGGCTTTGTGCCCGGGCAATGCAGCCCCCATGGCTCCATTTGGGAAGGCAGCAGGTGCCCATGGACTATCCCCAGCGCACACGGTGCCCCCTACTGGCATGTCTCAGCCCGGAGAGTGGATGTGGGAGCTCAGCCTGCGTGGCCCCCGTCAGCCCTTGGCATACAGGGTAGCAGGTGCTGAGGGGAGCCGTTCCCCAGCTGACCCTCAGGCGGGGAGGGGGTTCCAGTCTTGACTGACCCAGGGTGGGGTTCGGACCAGTGCTGCTGCTGTGTGTCCTGTCCACGTTCTGCGCCCATCTCAGGTTATGGCTGTGCCGGAACCACGTACGTGGCCTACGGGCTGCTGGCTCGGGAGATCGAGCGAGTGGACAGCAGCTACCGTTCGGTCTTCAGTGTCCAGTCGTCCCTGGTGATGCACCCCATCAACGCCTACGGGACGGAGCAGCAGAAGCAGAAATACCTGCCCCGTCTGGGTGAGCGAAGGGCGCGGGTTGGGGCTCTCACTAGCTAGGAGCGGAAGCATGGATCCACCTGGGAGGCTGCTGGCTCCAGTGCTGGTAGACATCCCCTGTAGCCGGTCCCCTACTGTCTGGCCAGCTGGCAGAGCAGAGAGGATGCTGGGATGGTTCTTTCCCACAATGCTCTCTGCTGGGGTAACGTGGAAGGAGCGGGGGTTGGTGGGAGGGGGAAGGACTTGCCCCTTTCCCCCCCATGGAGGCGGGCTGCTGGGAGAGGGGTGGGCACCCAGGAGGCTGGGCCCTCAGAGCACAGGGTGGGGAAGGTCTGCTGGGGTGGACATACAGGGAGTGGGGTGACAGAGGAGTGGGGGGGGCACTGGGGGCGTAGGAGCCATGAGGAGAATGTCGGGGGAGGGAGGATGCGGAAGTTGGGGGCAGGGCAGGTGTTGGGGCCAGGTGATGTGAGAGCCATTGGGGGAGGGGTGGCAACTGTGGGATTGGGTATTGCCTCGGGGGTGGGAACTAGGGTGGAGGGGCAGGAACCATGGGGATGGTGTTGGGGGCAGAATGTGGGAACTGGGGGAAGGAGAGAGGGCTTCAGTGGGGTGGGCAGTGCGAGAACCAGGGGGAGGGCGTTGGGGTGAGTAGGGGCTTGGGAACTGGGGGGAACCTAGGAGAAAAGTGGTTGGGGGCAGTGTCTGGTGGATGAGGGGCAGTGCAGGAGCTGGGGCAGGTCGTCCAGGGCTGGGATGAGAGGCGGGGTGGGAATTGATGGGGGGGGGGGGGAAGGGGGTGCAGGAACCTGGTGGGAGGGAGGCAAGACAGGTGGGAATTGGTGGAGGGAGGGGTTGGTGCAGGACTTGGGACAGGATGCAGATGGGAATTGGTGGAGGGTGCAGGACCTGGGGTGGGGGAGTGAGAATTGGAGGGGGGGTACAGGACCTGGGTGGGGAGTAGGAGTGGGGTGGTGGTGGGAATTGAGGGGAGGGGTGCAGGACTGGGGGGGTGCAGGACCTGGGTTAGGGTCGGGGCAGAGGGGCCGCGGCTCCAGCCCAAGCCCACTGGCTTCGCTGTCCTCAGCCACAGGGGAGCTGCTGGGCTGCTTCGGGCTGACGGAGCCCAACCACGGCAGCGACCCCGGGGGCATGGAGACCAGGGCTCGCTACCACCCGGCCAGCAAGACCTACACGCTCAACGGCTCCAAGACCTGGTGAGACAGATCCAGGCCCTGGCAGCCCAGCTGCTAGCCCTGCCCATGGCTCTCAGCAGCCACCCACACTCCAGGCCCTTGGTCTCACTGCCACCCTGCCCTGAGCCGGGCAAGCCCCCCCCAACTGCTGCACCCCGATAATCTCAGCCCTGCCCTGTTGCTCCCCTGGCTCAGCCAATCCTGGGCCTCTCCAGGGAGAGGGGCTGGGAGCCAGGACTCCTGGGTTCTATCCCCAGCTCTGGGAGAGAGGTGGGGTCCAGTGGTTGGAGTGGGGGGGGGGGGAGGGGACTGGGAGCTAGGACTCCTGGGTTCCATCCCTGGCTCTGCTACTGAGTTTCTGGGGTGTTTCACATCTCCCCTCTGTGGCTCGTTTTCCCTGTTTGGATGGTACCGTCCTGCTTCCTTTGTGGGGGGGAGCTCTGGGAGTCTCCGAGATGAGCTGGGTCTCACGTCTCCTCCCAGGATCACCAACTCCCCCATGGCGGATCTCTGCGTGGTGTGGGCCGTGTGCGAGGACGGGAGGATCCGGGGCTTCCTCCTGGAGAGGGGGATGAAGGGCCTGTCGATGCCCAAGATCGAGGGCAAGTTCTCCCTGCGGGCCTCCACCACCGGCATGATCCTGATGGAGGACGTGGAGGTGCCGGAGGAGAACCTGCTGCCGCATGTCTCCGGGCTCGCGGTAAGTCCAACCTCCTCTCCCCCCAGCCGATTCTTCGGTTCCCCATGATCTCACGGCCTAAGCAGAGTTGGCTGGGGACACTGCTTGGAGGAGAGACTCCAGCTGCTGTGGGGAGGGGGGCCAGCAGGGGGCGCTTTCCCCATCGAGCCAATGCTGACTTCAGTGCGGTGCTAGGGGGCACTATGCTGCAAGGGAATGGCCTTTAAACAAGGGGTGTTAATCCAGGTGTCATGGCCTGACCCTCACCTTGGCAGTTGCCTTCAGCTTCCCAAACCATAGGAAGCAGTCGACTGCTGGATTCTTCTTCGCTTCCTGTCTTGGGCATGGTTGCTGTGTGCTTGATGAAAACAGCTGCTGTGCCCCGCCCCCACCCCAGAAGCAGCTGCATTTCAGCACAGCGCCAAGTGACCCTTGGATAAGTAGCTGTTGTTCTCCACCCCAGAGACAACTGCATTTCAGCAGGGGGTGAGTCATGGCTGTATAAAACAGCCCCCACTGTACAGGGAGCTTCCGTTGGAGAGATCAGCCGTTCCTGTGGCTCTAACAGGTCAGTTTTGATGGATGTCAATGGGCTTGTGCTTAGAAATGTGGTCCCCAAATCCTTCTGGGCAGAGACGGACAATGGCGCGGAAGCCAGTATCCTGTTGCCCTGTTAACGCAGGGGGCTGGCAGGAGCAGCGGTCATGCGCTCCTCCTTGGCAGCGTTGCCTGGAGGTTAATGATCAAGGCTCTTTCTCGTGTCCTGCCAGGGTCCGTTTGGCTGTCTGAACAACGCCCGGTACGGCATTGCCTGGGGAGCGCTCGGAGCTGCTGAATTCTGCTTTGAGACAGCCAGGCAGTATGCCTTGGACAGGTACTGGCTGTGCGGGGGAGGGGGAGAACTCTTTGTCCCTGGGGTGGGTGGAAGCTCCATGTAGGTTTGGGGGATCCCTGCCTGCCTCTTTTTAAAGGCACTGATTAATTTAGACCTCGCTGCATTCATGGGAGAGTCCTTGCCAGGAGGGGAAACCGAGCGAGAGAGGTGAAGTGACGTGACCAAGGTCGCACAGTGGATCAGTAGCAGAGCTGGGAATGGGACCCAGGAGTCCTGACTCCCAGCCCCCTTCCCAAACCCACTGGGGTGAATGCCAGCCGTCAGCTGTGGGAGAGCACAGTGGAGTCCAGCAGTGAAGGGCTTTCATGGGGCTCACTAGCTCTTTCCTGTCCAGTTGTGCCACCTGCCGATTACGTGCAGTATATATGAAGCGTTCTAGCTCTCGGAAGAACTTTCCGTCATAGAGCGTCTGATGGAACTCTGCTTCGCTGGGCAGAGATCAGGGCAGATGAGAAGCAAGGACGGTGTAGTGCATAAGGCACTGAACTGTGACTTAGGCAAAATCAGGGACAGAACCCAGGTGTCCCACATCCCTTCCCCTCTCTGGGCCCTGGTTTCCCCTCCCACCGTGGGAGCTTGTCAGGACAGGGCCTCTCTCTCTCGCTCTGTCTAGGCAGTTCCCAGCACAATGGGGATTTTGGATGGGGCTTTCAGGCACTACCTAATAGACCTAGTACAATGCTCCATCCCAATTGAAGGCAGTCACCAGCGGTGGATCTGCCCCAAGAGTTTTAAGTGACTTTTGCTCCTCGGTTTCCTAACTAAGTTGTCCTCCCTTAGGATCCAGTTTGGGGTGCCGCTGGCTAGGAACCAGCTGATCCAGAAGAAGCTGGCTGATATGCTCACCGAGATCACCATTGGCTTACAAGCTTGCCTGCAGCTGGGGAGGCTAAAGGATGAAGACAAGTATGTACCTGCCTTTCTAAACTAAAAAGTTATTCTGTGGGTTAGACTGCAAAGCTAGAAGGGGTTTGGCTGGCTCAGGGGTGGGGAATGGGATCCAGAGTCTTACCCTTCCAGGGTACACCGGCTTTGATCCAGCCCCAGGCTCGGAGGGACTGGTGACATAAGGCGTTGTGGAATGACACAGAATCATAAAACTGGAAGGGACCTCGAGAGGTCTCTAGTCCAGTCCCCTGCACTCAAGGCAGGACTAAGTATTATCCAGACCATCCCTGACAGGTGTTTGTCCAACCTGCTCCTAAAAATCTCCAATGATGGAGATTCCACAACCTCCCTAGGCAATTTATTCCAGTGCTTAACCACTCTGACAGGAAGTTTTTCCTAATGTCCAATCTAAACCGCCCTTGCTGCAATTTAACCCATTGCTTCTTGTCCTATCCTCAGAGGTTAAGAAGAACAATTTTTCTCCCTCCTGCTCGTAACAACCTTTTAGGTACTTGAAAACTGTTATCATGTCCCCTCTGTCTTCTCTTCTACAGACTAAACAAAGCCAATTTTTTCAATCTTTCCTCATAGCTCATGTTTTTTAGTCCTTTAATCATTTTTTGTTGCTCTTCTCTGGACTTTCTCCAATTTGTCCACATCCTTCCTGAAATGTGGTGCCCAGAACTGGACACAATACTCCAGTTGAGGCCTAATCAGCGGGGAATAGAGCGGAAGAATTACTTCTTGTGTCTTGCTTACAGTACTTCTGCTAATACATCCCAGAATGATGTTTGCTTTTTTTCTGCAACAGCGTTACACTGTTGACTCATATTTAGCTTGTGATCCACTATGCTCCCCAGCTCCCTTTCCGCAGTACTCCTTCCTAGGCAGTCCTTTCCCACTTTGTATGTGTGACATACAGGGCCTTTTCCTTCTAAGGGGCAATGGCTCCAATCCAGCCCCCAGTTCGGGAACTGCCTGGCTCATGCAGGTGGGGAAAGGGGCCCTATTCCGCTCTAGGAGCGTTGGTTCTGATCCAGACCACATGGTTAGAGAAAAACAGGCCATTCCCCTTTGACCAAGCTGCTAGGTCTCCCCAGTGTGAAACGAGGCTGCTGGGTCTCCGCCTAGTGCCAACGTGACACAAACCCTGGTTCCACCGGGGAGCTTGTCCTTCCACCCCAGTGCCCTTGATCGCTCCTGTCGCTGTAGGGCCGCTCCCGAGATGATCTCCATGCTGAAGCGGAACTCTTGCGGCAAAGCACTGGATATTGCCCGCCAGGCCCGGGACATGCTGGGGGGCAACGGCATCGCCGACGAATACCACGTCATCCGGCATGTCATGAACCTGGAGGCCGTGAATACCTATGAAGGTAAATCTCCCCATACACCTTTGTATCAAATTCCATGAAGGTTCCTGGGATTTCCCAGCTCCTTCGGGACCATGGAGGTAAGGGATAGAAAGCAGGATGCTAGGGGGTGCTGTGCATCAGGAGCAGGGCAGGCCTCATTCTCCCCTCCAATCCAATGTCCCTGTGTCACGTTGGGGCTTACAGCTCCAACTGGATATGATGTTCTTCACTTCCTGCCCTGCTTTCTTGTTCGCCATTGCTGTACGCTGCTGAAACAGCTGCCATGTTCCACCCTAGAGGTGGCTGCATTTTAGTGATTTGCTTCGCTCATCGCTAATATAGCCTTTCTTCACCTTCCGGGGTAAGCAAGCCCTGCCACTGTTTGATGGATAATCTTGTATCATGCTTATCCTCTAGCATCTGATGATTTACGCCTGGTCTATACACAGGTTTTACCCCCAGATAATGGTGTTTGTCGGGGGGGAGGGGGGTGACTTTCATTTACCAATATAGTTACCTGAGTACAACCACTAGTGTGGACATGACAGAAGGGGAATAAAGGTGCCTTATACTGATATGGTATATTCCCCTTCCCAGTGAGATCTTTGTTCCCATTTCTCTTCGCTCCACAGGCACGCATGATATCCACGCTCTCATCCTTGGCAGAGCAATCACCGGACTTCAGTCTTTCACCGTCGGCAAATAAATCCAATATGGAGGAGGCCTAACTCACCTTCGCAACAGCCTTAAATTCACTACGTCGGAAGAATGATCGTTTTGTATAAAAAGATTTTTGGTTTTTCGTTCTCAAGATAAAAAAGTCACAAGCCAGAGGCTGCTGTTGTGATACAGAATCTGAATGTAGCTCTTCAGGCTGACTCCTTGATTCTTTCTTACTTTGCAATACGATTCGCTCCCAAATCAGCTAGTTGGTTTTCAAGCTGAAGCATCTGGGAGAAGGTCTTCTCCCGTCTGTTTGCAGTAAAGGGTCAAGGAGACAGGCCCGGTAACGGACCGTCTTTGCCAGCATTGCATTTGTATTTTGGGGATATGGGAGAGGGTGAAATTAGTGAAACTTCTGTGAAGTGGATTGTCATGTAACAAAAGTCAGTGGATTTGTGATGTTGGATTGGCTGCTCGATGCATGGAGCTGGCTTGCTTGCTTTCTCCTTGAGTGTAAATTCAGGACCTGTGTGGGAAAGGCTGCCTGTATCAACAGGGTGGAAATGCAGTCTCACTCCTTTCTCCTTCCACTGGATGTCCAAGTTCAGCTAACTTGCTTCTCAGAATTATCTGAATGGATGCACTACTGCATGCTGGGAGAACTCTCTTCTCTTTACAAAGCTGTGTTGAAGCCATAAAACCTGAATCTTCACGCACAGCCAGGTCATGGGACATGTCCAACGGGCATCTGCACAATGTAGCTACTGAGCTAAACGTTACCGAGGTGAAGCAATGCTGCCCACTGCACAGGGCTGGGGCTCAGAACGGGGTTAAATTCCTGGCTCTGCCACGGACCCACTGCAGGCAACTCTCTGTGCCTCAGTTTCCCCAGCTGTAAGACACATTTAGCATTCCTGTTACCAAATTTCTCTTTCACAGTAGCCCACAGTTGAACCCAGCTGATCTCGTATCCCTTCTGTTACTTACATGAATAAATTTTAAAATATACGGTATCTTGCTTTTTCTGTTTGTAGTGGTTAGTTGTTTATGTACCCTACAGCCCGCTGCTGGATAGAATCATAGCTGCCGAACTGTGTAAAGCGGGCCATAGACTGTTAACATTCGGTGGCTGGTTTCCCTGGCCATTGCAAAACAGAAGAAAATGATCAGCAATCGGCTGTGTTCAAATTTCACATCCCTTCACTCAAAGGTAACTTTCTTGACTCGGGAAGAGTGTTGTGACCTCTCAGATTGTAGGTCTTGGGAGTGAGCGGTGAAGTCTGAGCAGGTGCAGAGTGGCTGAGCACAGACCAAGATGTTCAGTAACTCACCACAATGCTCCCACAGTCATCAGAGCAGAAGGATTGGAAATGTGTCCCTCAGGTTGTGTATATGAGATGCAGTCATGGGAGCTCTGGGTGCCCAACTTGACTCCCTTCGGGGAACACTTTTCCAAAGACACCAGGGCCAGATTTTTCAAGTATGAACCTTTGCTTTGTACCCCACAATTGGAGCCAGATTTTCGAGAGATGTCAACGCCTGATGCCCTGAGCTCTTCTTGTGATCTGGGCCCGATGGTGGATGCTGAATTCTCTTGAAACTTCTGGCCCTCGGGCCTGACTGTTTTACCGAGGTGTTAGGCTCGAGTGCTCAGGTATGACAGTGATGGGGTGGTATAAGAACTTACGCAGAATAGCTGCCCTAGCTCTAGTGATGTGCTGGTGGTTGAGTTTTCAGTGCACGCTCCAGCCCTGCACTAGAAGCAGTCTGTTCAATACCAGAATTGTACTGTAGTCTCTCTGCCAGCTGTATCCAGCTTGCTGAACAGCTGGAGCCAAACTCAATCCTACCCGAGGCAGGTGGTTGAGCTCTTGATCCCTGGCAAATAGGTTACAGGAAAGCAAAGGTTCATACAGGCAACTGCCATGGCCCGTGACTACATGTAGCTCCAGATTTTTTTTCAATCTGGCCTGTACTGTTCGTTATATGAAATAGAAATTGGACCAAGAGTCGGAGATGTGCCTGTATTAAGGGGATTAGACAGCTGAGCCATCCTTGCTCGAAAACTCTTTAACAGCCAGGGGGGTATCTCTGGATTGATCCACCTGCAACGACCCTTCACCACCACACCATTTCAGGTCCCATGACTGTGGCAAAAAGTCCCAGCTCACCTACATGTGCTAAGACAATTGGGGCTGCCCCAGGAGTTATAAAATAGCTGTGTCCAGCATTGGGAAACGGGAACAATATATAAGCCGAACTTGCAAGTTTTCTGACATGCTGGCTGTGACTCATGGGTGGAAGTGGCTTCTCAGGACAGAAAGTGCGGTGCTACTACCCGTCCCTTCCCCTCCCCCCCCCCCCCCCATGTCTATACTACCCGCCGGATCCGCGGGCAGCGATCGATCCAGCAGGGGTCGATTTATCGTGTCTAGTCTAGACTGGATAAATCGATCCCCGAGCGCTCTCCTGTCGACTCCTGTACTCCACGGCCAGGAGAAGTTGACCGGGGAGCAGCAGCAGTCGACTCACCACGGTGAAGACACCAGGGTAAGTCGATCTAAGTAAATGTAGTGTAGACCAGGGTGCTTGTAGGTCTGATTGGTAGCAGAACAGGTTCTGTTTTCAGCCCCTGCATGTGTAAGTGGTCTTTTGGTTCTCTCCTTTTGAGAATAATAAGGGTTTATCAGGAACAGAAGCTTAAACTCTGTTCTCCTGTAAAGAAACTGAGCGACAGAATCTTATACTTTTGCTTTAAATCCCATTGTGTTTTTCATATCAGCACAGATAGCGGTTGGAAATAACGAACAGGCAAGTCACTGAAGGAGATGGTTACAGCTACAGACGCTCCCCGGTTATGCAAGACCCGGCTTACGCAAATTCGACCTTATGCAAAAAGTTCCATAAGGCATAAATAAAATGTTCAAGTTGCAGAAAATATTGCGTAACGTACGGGAATGCAAAGTACTGTAGTGCGGTGTGCAGAGGAATACAGCAGTAGCATCTCCTACAAGGGAAGGCTTTGCGCTCTCACAGCCTCTCAGTCTCGTGTTATTTCAGTGATACTGGATTTCTGTTATTTCACCCTGTTATTTCATTCAAATCATGCCTGGAAAGCAACCAAGTGATAGCAAGAGTGCAGGACCAGTTCGTAAGAGAAAGAAGATTGATTTAGAGCAGAAAATGAAAATAGTGAAAAAGTATGAAGGCGGACAAAGCCTCTCGTCAATTGCTCGTGAACTCGATTTGGCTACCTCAACAGTGAAAAGTATTTTGAATGATAGTGCACGCATAAAAGAGCACGTGAAAGGCTCTGCTCCTTTAAAATCAACAGTCATAACGAAGCAGCGTTCTGGCGCGATCTATGAAATGGAAAAGTTATTAACAATATGGATGGACGATCAGATTCAAAAATGTGTGCCGCTTAGCCTAATGATTATTCAAGCGAAGGCTAAAAGTATTTTCGAAGACGTAAAGGGAAAATACAGTGATCCTAACGCAAAGTTTGTGGCTAGTCATGGGTGGTTTAATAGATTTAAACAACGTGCAAATTTTCACAATGTAAAAGTGAGGGGTGAGGCTGCTAGTGCTGATACAAAAGCAGCTGAAAAGTATCCCGAAGTGTTACGAAAACTTATAGAAGAATGTGGTTATACAGCACAGCAAATCTTTAACGTCGACGAAACTGGATTGTTTTGGAAAAAAATGCCAGACAGAACATACATTTCAAAAGAGGAAAAGACGATGCCAGGGTTTAAGGCTGCGAAAGATAGGCTAACGCTTTTGCTTGGGGGTAATGCAGCTGGAGATTGCAAATTGAAACCGTTGCTTGTTTATCATTCAGAAAATCCCCGTGCGTTTAAAGGCATTAGCAAGGCTACCCTTCCAGTTCATTTCCGTTCAAATGGAAAGGCTTGGATCACAACGGCACTTTTCGAAGACTGGTTTATAAATTTGTTTATCCCCGAAGTGGAAAAATTCTGCAGAGAAAACGACATCCCATTCAAGATTATGCTTATCGTCGATAATGCTCCTGGACATCCCGCACATTTAGATGACTTTCACCCTAATGTAAAAGTCGTGTTTCTGCCTCCCAACAAGACTTCGATCCTACAGCCCATGGATCAGGGGGTCATTGCTAAGTTTAAAGCCTATTATCTACGAAGAACATTTGCACAGGCAGTAGAAGCAACTGACAGAGAGACTGGCAAGACTTTGCGTGATTTTTGGAAATCGTATAACATTTACCAAGCCATCATAAACATTGCTAAGGCCTGGGCAGAGGTTACCCAGGTTTGTTTGAATGCCGTATGGAAGAAAGCATGCCCACAGTTCGTACACAGCTTTAAAGGTTTCGAAAAAGACAAAACATATGAGGAGGTGGCAGATGAAATTGTGAAGTTTGCCGAACAGCTTGAGCTGGAGGTTGATGTTGGCGATGTGGATGAGTTTATCGAATCCCATGGAGCTGAATTATCAAATGAGGATCTCATGGAATTAGAAGCAGCAAAAGTAAAAGAGCAGACTGAAGCGGAGGATGAAGTTGAAGAAGTAGAAGAGCCACGACACTTCAACACCAAGGAGATGGCACTTGCATTTCGTGAGATTGACTCTGCAATGGCAAGGTTTGAGAAGATGGACCCCAACTCCTCACGATTCTTGAAAGTGAACAGAGGCATTGACGAAACGCTGGCCTGTTATAGACAGATATATGAAGAGAAGAAAAAGGCCACTATCCAGTCATCTCTCGATAAGTTTGTAAGGAAGGTTGAAAGGCCTGCAATGTCCACATCTCCACCGCCTTCCACCTCCAAAGCCCCCTCTGACGACCCCGATGATGTAATGCCTGTCTCCTCCTCTCCTTCCTCATCTACAAATTAAGCCCATTGTCATCCGCCACCAAAATGGAGCCTTCAGCGTGCCAGGATAATAATAGGATTAAGGTAAATGTAATATTTTTGTTGTAATTGTTTTGTTTGTTTTTATGCTTGCACAATATACGTTTCCGACTTATGTAAAATTCGGGTTATGCAAGGTTTTCCGGAACAGAACAATTGCGTAAGTCAGGGAGTGTCTGTATTGATAAACCAACAAAGTGGAATGTAACATTCATGTGATCTTTATAAAATGCCTTTTACAATTAACAGCGCTATGAGAGAGTTAGTGACAACAATCTCCCCCTGACACACTGGAAGAAAGACATTTCGAAGGCAGCAGGGTGCGGAAGTTTGACAAGAGCCACTGGCCATTGCATAATCCTTTTGTATCTTCAGTGGACTTTAATTACATCTCACCTATTCCCACTTTTATAAAGACTGAATCTTACCAGGCGTGTTTTTTAACCTGTCTGGCTCTCATGCCCTTTAGGACACTATCAGAGCTTGAAAGTTCAGGAGTTTTTAAAATAACTTTAACAATCAAACAAACTGCAATAGGAATAGAAAAAGAGGCCCTTATCTGACCTGTAGTCTTGTTTTTCCTTTTGCATCAGAATAGTAGCTACACAATGGTTTGAGTGGTTCATTTGGGCTTTTGATTCCAGCTGGCCCTTCTTCCTAGTGTTCTCACACCTCTGGCTGCACACACAAGTCTTTATAAGCTGCCTCCACAGTGTGGCAGACTTGTCTGAGCTCCGTTTGGATCTGGCTGATCCTCTCCATTATCTCCGAGAGCTCTTGGAGCTTATCCTGCATTTGCTTGTTATGGCGATCGTAAATGAGAAACATCATTTCCTCCAGCTTCTCCGCCAAACTCGAAACCTTTTGGAGTGCAAGGAAAGACAGGCCTTAGGGCAAGACTCAGCCCCATCCCAACATGGCAGAGCACCCACTGAAATCAACAGTAGTTGCATCCTGTTACTCTGGGAGTAGGGGGACAATGCAACCCTTAATATTCAAGCCATCAGCCTCTGGTCCATTTTAATTCCTAAGTGTGACTTTTTTTCATGAGTTTTAGACTGAATGGACTAAAACTGATCTCTGCATAAATGTAAATGCTTACTGCAGGCTTCTTGCACCATCTTCTGAAAGCATCTGGAGCTGGCTGTGTGAGAGCCAGGAAACTGACTCAAGGGACTGCTAGCCTGGGCCAGGCTGGCAATTCCTATGCAGACCCCAGCCCTGCAGCTGGTCCATGCAGCACTTCAATGCAACTCCATGAGGATCTGCCTGCATGGATCTGAATGCAGGAGTGGGATCTTCATGGGACATACAGGAGGATTCTGGCCTACTAGAGGCCATGTGCTCCGGAGACCAGGGCACTGGACCGCAATTCAGGACCCCTGGGTTCTATTCCCAACTCGCCCAGGAGTTAGGTGGCGAGCGTGATTTTCAAAAGCTCCGAGCTGCATTTTTAGGGCTCCTAGATACTTTTGAAAATCTGGCCCAAAGCTTTAATGGCAGCCTCAGCAATGGTAAGGCGGAAATAACTTCCCGAATGCGTGACAGTCAGATGTGCTGAGCTGCTGCTGGTAGAGGCCATGGTGAAGGTTTTGCGAGTGCCTGTGTGAAATGGGAGGCGTGTTGGTTTCTGCATCTGTTGGAGATGCACGTGGAAGCTTTATGGCCTGTTGGAGTGCGTTAGACAACAGCGATCAGAAGGTGGTAAAGAATTCGACTTACTTTCCTCTTAACTTAGCTCCATGCTTTGAAGGCACTGGCATAAAATGAAGCTTTGGTTTGTTAGTCCATTTGCATAATAATCCCTAGTTTTTATCAGTAGATCTCAAAGTACTTCACAAAGGAGGTCAGTACCATTATCCCCATGGGGACATTGAGGCATAAAGCGGTGAAGTCACTTGTCCAAGGTCACCCGGCAGGCCAGTTGCAGAGCCACGAATAGAACCTTGGTCTCCTGGGTCCTAGTCCAGTAGGGTATCCTATAAGCCAGACTACCTCTCTTAATAATAATAATAAATATCTCACTCTCATATAGCACTTGAGAAGCCTGGGTTCTATTCCCAGCTCTTCCACGGGCCTGCTGGGTGAGCATGGACAAGTCATGTTGATCTGTGCCTCGGTTTCCCCATTTTACAATGAATCTGACCATTTGTAAGGTGCTTTGAGATCTATGAATGAAAAGCGCTAGATAACAGCCAGGCGTTCTTATATAGATTACACGTTAGTGTCACGGCAAACCCAGTGGCTGAACTTTGTGACTTTGTCCTCACCCACAACTATTTGACATTTGGGGACAATGTAAACCTTCAAGTCAGCAGCACTGCTATGGGTACCCGCATGGCCCCACAGTATGCCAACATTTTTATGACTGACTTAGAACAACGCTTCCTCGGCTCTCGTCCCCTAATGCCCCTACTCTACTTGCGCTACATTGATGACATCTTCATCATCTGGACCCATGGAAAAGAAGGCTTTGAGGAATTCCACCATGATTTCAACAATTTCCATCCCACCATCAACCTCAGCCTGGACCAGTCCACACAGGAGATCCACTTCCTGGACACTACAGTGCTAATAAGCGATGGTCACATAAACACCACCCTATACCGGAAACCTACTGACCGCTATACTTACCTACATGCCTCCAGCTTTCATCCAGACCACATCACATGATCCATTGTCTACAGCCACGCTCTAAGATACAACCGCATTTGCTCCTATCCCTTGGACAGAGACAAAACACCTACAAGATCTCTATCAAGCGTTCTTAAAACTACAATACCCACTTGCTGAAGTGAAGAAACCGATTGACAGAGCCAGAAGAATACCCAGAAGTCAGCTACTCCAGGACAGGCCCAACAAAGAAAGTAACAGAACGCCATTAGCCGTCACCTTCAGCCCCCAACTAAAACCTCTCCAGCGCATCATCAAGGATCTACAACCTATCCTGAAGGACGATCCTTCACTCTCACAGATCTTGGGAGACAGGCCAGTCCTCGCTTACAGACGGCCCCCCAACCTGAAGCAAATACTCACCAGCAATCCAAGTGCCATTGGCCTGCTAAACCCAGGGTTGTGAGTTCAATCCTTGAGGGGGCCATTTAGGGGAACTGGGGTAAAAATCTGTCTGGGGATTGGTCCTGCTTTGAGCAGGGGTTTGGACTAGATGACCTCCTGAGGTCCCTTCCAACTCTGGTATTCTATGATTCTATTCTAACCACACACCAAAAACACTAACCCAGGAACCTATCCTTGCAACAAAGCCCGTTGCCAACTCTGTCCACATATCTATTCAAGGGACACCATCATAGGACCTAATCACATCAGCCACACCATCAGAGGCTCGTTCACCTGCACATCTACCAATGTGATATATGCCATCATGTGCCAGCAATGCTCCTCTGCCATGTACAGTGGCCAAACCGGACAGTCTCTACGCAAAAGAATAAATGGACACAAATCAGATGTCAAGAATTATAATATTCAAAAAAGAGTCGGAGAACACTTCAACCTCCCTGGTCACTCAATTACAGACCTCAAAGTCGCAATTCTCCAACAAAAAAACTTCAAAAACAGACTCCAATGAGAAACTGCAGAACTGGAATTAATGTGCAAACTGGACACCATTAAATTAGCTTGAATAAAGACTGTGAGTGGATGGGTCATTACACAAAGTAAAAACTATTTCCCCATGCTAATTTCTCCCCCACTGTTTTCAACTGTTTGAAATGGGCCATCCTGATTATCACTACAAAAGTTTTTTTTCTCCTGCTGATAATATCCCACCTTAATTGATTAGTCTTGTTATAGTTGGAATGGCAACACCCATTTTTTCATGTTCTCTTTGTATATATATCTTCCTACTGTATTTTCCACTGCATGCATCCGATGAAGTGGGTTTTAGCCCACGAAAGCTTATGCCCAAATAAATGTGTTAGTCTCTAAGGTGCCACAAGTACTCCTCATTCTTTTTGCTGATACAGACTAACACAGCTACCCCTCTGAAACGTTAGCGTCTGTGTCTGATTTTATAATGGAAAGCTCCCCGCTGTTGCATTATTTTTCTCTACATTTACATAAAATATGCTCCAAAGCATCTGATTTAATGCCTCAGAGACATGGAGGACACTCAGACTGGTGATCTGTGACTGATGCAGTCAGAATAACATGATTAAAATACATGAAATAAACATTCTGTGGATGCACAATCTTGAATGTTGTGTGTGCGGTCAGGGTGGAGAGGAGATTAGCGAGGCAGCTTGATCGACTGCGGATGAAATGGGTTGCTGCATTTCGCAGCGATTCGTGTCTCTGAGGCGTGATATTGGGATTTCACTTCTGTTGGCAAGTAAAGTGGTTTTACATTGAAAACAAGCTCTCTACTGATTTGCTGTAATATAGCAGAGAATTGGAGAACATTTGTTAGTCTCTAAGGTGCCACAAGTACTCCTGTTCTTTTTAGGGCCCCTCTAGTCCATCTCCTTTCAAGTAGAGTCTAGCTGCTGCTCCCCTCTTTTGTTCTGTCCAATCTACTTTTAAATGCTCTATACAGTGAAACTCCCCCCACTTTCCTTGGGGAGATGATTCCATAACCCAGTATGGGTCCCTGGGAAGAAGACCCATGTGAGAAGAGGACCTTCCTCACACAGCTTTTCCCACTCCCATGAAAATGGAGGGCTCAGCATCCCTCCCTTCAGTCCGGTTGTCCTGGGGGTGGGTGGGGGGGAAGCATGACTATTGGAGGAGGGGTAGGAAAGTTGGAGGTGGGGGTTGGAGAATGCTGCACCCAGTGAAGTTCAAAAGGAATAGACAACACCATTCTGGGCTGTATTACCTTCCCACCGCGCTACCACCGTGCTGTGTGACGTATCCCTCTGAGGAGGGGCCCTAGTACACCTCTTGCTTGGGAGGGCCTTCTAGGGAAACTCCAGGGTGTGTGTGAGAGGGGGGATGCAATTGGAAGCACAGGCCTTTCCTGCAGATGTCTTTGGTCTCAGGCCAATCCCCTGGGATATATGCTGGGTCCAGCTGCCTGTTCCAGCCCAGGGCAAACCCTGCCTCCGTGCTGGAATGACATGGAGTTTATATCATGGAAGGGGGCAATCCATCCCTATGATACAGCACTTCACACACCCCCACACACACATTTTCCTTTGCTCAGCATTAAAGCGCCTCCTCTTTTACCAAACTAGCTAACTTCTCTTCCATCCTTTGGCTTCCACCCTCGAGCCCTTGTATGTAGCCATCTCAATATCCACTTCACCTTCAGCATGAGGCTCTCCCTGAAATTGCTCATGACAGTGTGGTCTTTCTTCCGGTTCTCGTTGATCTTCTCAATCAGCTGCTGCGTTCTTCTCTGCAGATTTTCAATGTTTGAATCCAAGGCTGCGAAATAATTGGATGACTTGCCATCCAATGCTGCTACGGGCGCATCTGCAGTGGGGCAGAGCAGAGATGTGCTGGGCGATTCCTTCCTGCATTTAAATTGAAATAAATGAGCATGTGTTGTATTCCTCTGCACCCCAACTTACACTCAAAGGCCAAAACTCAGGTGAGTTTGAGGACTCATTGTGAAAGCATCTGCTTTGTTTCCAGATAAGAGTAACTGACATATCTGAAGCAAGGGGGAAGTTTACCTGCACTGTGGAAAAGGTAAACTTCCCATCCTTTCCCTTGCTGTCATTCCTAAAGAAAGGGAGCATTTTAAAACCAAACATAGAAGGTCAGATCCTCCCCTGGTGCCTTTGTGCATGTAAAAAGGCTGCAGCTGTACAAAACTACCCTCACAATTCAATACATGAAGAAAAATTACAAAGACTAGAGCCAAAGTTATCCAGCACAATCAGATGCCAAAGAAAACTGTTGCCAGCTATTTTGTTAATTTCTCTCATGTGGGAATTTTAGTCCTTTACATTTGTTTATTCAATAATGAAAGCAGCTTATTAACCAGAATCCATTCATCACAAACTTGACAGCTCCTGTGTTGGCTAATTCTGTTTTATAAAGGAAATACAGAGTCCCTGTTGGCTGACTTGTTTGTGAAACTACTTCTGCAGTGCTAGCAAAATTGACATTTAATTCCATTTGATGGGGGGAAATGACACACATGATGAGCAGCCTCAGGTTCTAAACCAGTACCCTTGCCTATGGAAGGCAGTGTGCTTGGGAGCGGCCTTCTGGGTACATTATTGCATTAGCACATTACACACTACTGATCAGGATCCCCGCTCAACTCCTGATGCTATTGGCCGGCATTCCTACGTCAGTGTTTCTTAACCTTGCCTTGTGTTGGCATTTGGTCCTGAGGAGGCGTGGAGGAAATGGGTCTAAATAAACCAAGCCATCTGCCAAGGTGAAGCAGCTCAGTGATGGAATTAAAAGCCAGAGACACCTGCTGTTGATTAGCTCTGTCCTCTTGTACAGAAGTACAAGTAAACAACCTACATGCCAGGTGGCTTTGTATACACTCCACCTGAGTGCACTGTATGTACGCAGCTACTGCAAGAGAGGCGGTGTGGCCCAGTGGATTGGGCACTGGGGAGTCAGGAGATCTGGGTTCTAAATAAATAGACTAAAAGTGTCAGGGGCTGGGGGCCATTTAAGTCCCATAGAAAAGAGTTGAAAGACTAACTGCTCCCATCCAAGGGCTTGTCTACACACAGCTTTTGTATCAGTTTCAAACCAGTACAGGGGTGCTGGAACAATTTGTGTAGTGGACGTGCTGTGAGTCATTGGACCAAACTGTAAACCCTGTATATAGTGGAATCCACTTCAAGCCAGGGGGTGCGACAGTACAACCCTGTAGTGTGGATACTGTTAGCTACATGTAGGTCTCGTCTCGAGAAAATGAAACCAATATGGTTATAACTCATCTGACTGTCTTTTTTTCCCCAGTGTAGCATGTCATTGCATCCACACACTAGGGGTATCCCAATGTAACTATACTAAACTAATATCTAATCATACCCCTAACTGAAATAATTCCATTGGTCCAAAGCCTGTGTTTAGAGTAGGCGTAAATGCACTGGCCGTCACCACCTCTTTAAAAGCAGTAGCTGTCCTGGGAACCACTTTATAGGACTTAAAATGAGTAATTCTGCCTGTGCCCAACACAGAGAATGTGTGAGTCATTAATTAGACAGCACTTTGCATCAGGAGATCTCAAAGCACTTTACAAAATTGGTCAGTATCATTACTCTCATTTTACAGATGGGGAAGCTGAGGCACGGGCCTTTACTTGCCCAAAGTCACCCAGCAAACTAGTGGCAGAGCCAGGAATTGAACCTAGGTCTCCTGAGTGCCATTCCAGGGCACTATCCTTTGGGAAACACTGCCTCCAAACTAACTTTTTAACTTAAGAATGCAATTAGACACATTGTCCATACCCAATTATATTAATTAGAAAACCTAGTCTGAATGCAGGCTGGGAAATTGCTACAATTAACATGAACAACCAGGGCATTCCCAACTATATATTTATTAAGAAGACATTTCTCCTTTGGGAAGTTTCTGTTGGCATATTCATGGCACAAGGCACAGCATTTTCTCCCCTTTCTCTGGCTCTCAGCAAATATTAGAAGTCTGTGCAAAACTCCTCACCTGGACAGGCTCTCACTGTGTAATTCACGTCTTTCTACATCATCAAAGAATGGGCTGTCCGGTTTAGCCAGCTCCTCTTCTGGCTCTGGACTTTCACATTCCTGATTAGACATTGTAACCTTTAAAAAGTAGAGAGATTGTTCAGGAGGCTGCATGGATCAGGCACTGCATTGGGACTTGTTCTAGCCCTTGGCTCTGCCACTAATTTGCTGTGTGACCCTTCTGCCTTGTCTATTTAGAGTAGAAGCTCTCCAGGGCAGGGACTGTCTCTTACAAAGTATTTGTACAACACTTAGCAAAATGGGGCCCTGATCTTGGTGCAGCCTCTAGTCTCTAAAGTAACGCATATAATTAATAAGAATAAAAGGCTCAAAATCACTGACCTACATGAGCTACTAGAGCAAACTGAGAGTTTTAAACATATTCAGTAGAGCTTGATGGGAACTTTTGATGACGTTTCTTGGGGCAGGGATTTGGAAAATGCTGATTCTTCCTAACTGAATCTTCCCATGGGACCATGTCAGTTTTGATTAAATTTTTGTTTTGAAAAAGAAAGTTTTGAAAAATATCAAACCAGCTGTTTTTGACATGTTCATAATTAAACATTTGGAATTTTCAGCTCAAAACTACTTTTTGTTTAAAAATGTATGTTGTTTTATATTTTTAAAATAAAAAAGGTCACAACTGAAACACGACAGATTGACTTAATGGAAAGGAAATATTTCAGTTTACCCCAAATGATTTTTTTCAGTGTTTCAGTTTATGAAAATTTTTGACATTTTGGCTCTTCGTCCCTATTTGGAACCAGGAAAAAAGTCAAACGCTCAAAATTTGTCATAGGATGGGAAATCCATTTCCTGACCAGCTCTAATATTGAGTCTGTTTCTCTTCTACACTAGTTTTACACTGATATAATTTCACTGGAGTTACTCCCAAGACAGCTGGACAAAATACGCTATTTTTATCTATGACTTGATTTCGCTTGGAGAGTTTGAAATAATCTGTATTTTATTAGATGTATTTTAGGACAAAATTTGCTAAACTGATATTTATTGTAAGAAAAACTGTTAAAACACTGAGGATATATATATAAAAATAAAGACACTGCTACTCTAACCTCTGTTAGAGGACTATGAAATTACATCTATCTAGAAACATTTTTAGCTTTCTAGCTCTATAAGTCAATTGTATTTACCTAGATTGTAAATTCTGCAGGATAAGGAATGTCTTTTTGTTATGGGTGTATGTACAGCATCTAACACTATCCCCAGGCAAGAGGTTCTAGCAATTACTATAATAATCATAATTAATAATAAAGCACCTAGAACCTACACTGGTTACCTGGATTTGAAAGTGTAACCTTGTCTGACCTCAACCAAGTTCTTCAAAACTCTATAGGAAATTAATTTTAAAAAGGAGAGATAAGTACATACAATGATTGTTAAATTCACATCATTTACTAAGCTGAAATGTTGCAGGAAGCTAGCTGTTGACCAGTCATTACAATTCCGCTCCACACCCTCCCTCCTTTATATAACTAGCGAAGTTTTACTGGGGAAAACCTGACTTCTGGATTCCCTGCTCTGAGGATATTAGCTGTTTTTCTTAAAGCCCCAGCTCCTGGGATCATGTGAGCGTCTCAGTTTTCATTAAAAACAAAAAAATGAAAGAAGTCATTCCTAGGTCTTGTGGTTGAGGAAAAATGCTTGAAATCATGACCCCCTAAAGACAGCAAATAATCAGAAACCCAAATTTATTTGTCTATGCATTATTTTTAAGCCAATCTCATGAATTTTTTAGGATTTGGGGTTGGATTTTCGGGGGTTGGCAGTACTGTGACTCTTAATATCTGCTTTTTAAAAAAATTAATTGATCAAAGATTTTCTCATGCTCAAAAAGGTCCTAAAAGAATTCCCACTGAGTCTGAATACCGATGGTAAGTGTTAAGCCGCTGTATATATATATATATATATATATAAACCCCTCTAATTTGATTTAATTCTGTAGGGTGGGGTGTTTGTTTTGTTCCCTCCTATGGGTGAAGGGGCTCCTATACCAACCCCATAGGAGCATGCGGTGCCCTATAGCAAGGCTGGGGGGATCCCCAATGAGCAGGTGTGAGGAGCCCCTAGGGAAGAGGACCCCCACATGGGACTGCTGTAGCCAGGCTCACAGTGGGGGAGACCCCATAGCGGGGTGAGGAGCCCATGGGGAGAAGATCCCCCATAGATGGATGAGGACCCAATATCAGGGCTCACCAGGGGGATTCCATATAGAACTGGGGGGCCTATATTGGGGCTCCCAGGGGGGCCCATATAGAACTGGGGGGTCAGTATTGGGGCGCCCATATAGATGTGGGCCCCTCTATGATACCAAGCTTCCCAGTAGGGGCCCCGTAGAGGGGCTCCCCCCAGAGATGGGGCTGGATCGGGGCTCCCAGCGCCCCTCCCCCCTCACCACAGCTTTTCCCGCCACTTCCCCGCCCCTCAACGGCCCAGCTGAGGAGAGGGGTGGGCCGGGGCCTGGGCCGGAGAATGCCAGCCCTGCTGACCAATCAGCGCCCTCCCCGCCCTCAGCTCCTCCAATGAGAGGTCGAGAGGGCATGAAGCAGGGGGGTGAAGGGGCTGGGCTGAGGGGGAGTCCAGTCTGGGGGAGGCAGAGGTGGTGGGGTCCAGGCTGGGGGAGGGGAGGCAAAGCTGGGGGAACGGGGCTGGGTGGGGGTCCAGGCTGGGGAAGGGGGGCTGATCTTGGGTCTAGTTTGGGGGAGGGGCTGAGGGGGTCCAGGCTGGGGGAGGGGGGCTGAGCTGGGGTCCAGGCTGGGGGAGGGGCTGAGGGGGGTCCAGGCTGGGGGAGGGGGGCTGAGCTGGGGTCTAGTTTGGGGGAAGGGCTGAGGGGGTCCAGGCTGGGGGAGGGGGGCACATCCAACCACAGCACAGTTTGGCAGAATTAGTTACTCGAAAAACAGCTGGACTAGCAGGGGGCCTGGGTGTAGACAACTGCAGTGTTGGGGGGACTTTCATCCCCCCTAATCTAGAGATTGTACTAATAAAGGAAACACTGAGTTTGGAGCAGAAGCTTCCCCCCCCCAAAAAAAGAGCATTTTTTACACCCCTGGTGCGGGTGGGGATTGAGGGGTATCAGTAGCTGGTGTTGAGATTGAAGGACATTAGCAGAGCTGTGGGGGATGGGTAGCTCAGGACTGACTAGCTCTAGAAATATGGGTTACTTGTGGTGTGGAAAAGCTCTGCTCATTTCTCCCCGTTTTCTCCATTCAATCCTAGGTGGCCATAGGACAGGAAACCAGTCGGAGAACACTTCAACCTCCCTGGTCACTCAATTACAGACCTCAAAGTCGCAATACTCCAACAAAAAAACTTCAAAAACAGACTCCAACGAGAGACTGCAGAACTGGAATTAATTTGCAAACTTGACACCATTAAATTAGGCTTGAATAAAGACTGGGAGTGGATGGGTCATAATACAAAGTAAAACCTATATCCCCATGCTAATTCCCCCCCCCCACTGTTACTCACACCTTCTTGTCAACTGTTGGAAAAGGGCCATCCAGATTATCACTACAAACGTTTTTCTTCTCTTGCTGATAATAGCCCACCTTAACTGATTACTCTCGTTATAGCTGGTATGGCAACACCAATTTTTTCAAGTTCTCTGTGTGTATATATATCTTCCTACTGTATTTTCCACTGCATGCATCCGATGAAGTGGATTTTAGCCCACGAAAGCTTACGCTCAAATAAATGGCTTAGTCTCTAAGGTGCCACAAGTACTCCTCGTTCTTTTTTTAAAGAAATTCTAGATAGCCACAGATTTCTGGCAGGTTTCAGGTGCATTGGGAGAGCTATTTGGAGAAGCATGAACATCATCTACCCTCACTTGTTGCTTTAGCCCCCGGGAGAGGCTCACCCACAAGAGATTTTGGTTTCTGTGGCTCAGAAGCGTAGCGCATCCCCACATCTTGCTGTGTATGCACCTCCCTGGCGTTCTTCATGCCCATCTGAATGCCACGGGTTCCCACCAGTAAGAAATGAAAATAAACTGGCAGTTGCCAGCGGTGCTGAAAACACGATGATTATAGACAGAGGCACTCTTGGTCTCATGGCGAGAGGGCTCTTTAATACAAATTTGCATGATTGTGTCCAACCAGGGGATGCAACTTCTACTGAGATGTATTTGTCTGCTGCTTTTTAGAGTCCAGTTCTCCCCCTACCCCAATCCAATCTTGTATATGGGAAGTAGCTGGAAACCAGCAAGAGATGGTTAAACCATCTTGGCTTTGTTTTTAATGCCTGCTTGTATTAAGGAAGCAAAGCAAAGACCCCACTGCTGTCTGGAACAGCTTAATAAAAATCCGTAGATTTGTTCTACGTAACTTCTCCTCTTTATGGCGATTCACATTATTCAATGCTTGCATTTCAAAGGCTAGTTAAAATTACATCAATCCTCCTGCTCAGAGGGATCTATGCATTTCTGTTTTAATCTGAAAGTGCTATGCTGTTTTAGAGCTGGGGAAACTGAGACACAAGGAACTGGAGTGATGTGCGACAGAGTCAAAGTTCGAACTTGGGATATGATTCTCAGTTCCCTTGTGAGGATGGGGCCTTTAAGACAATGTGGCTGTCTCCATATTCTGAGGCTGTGCTGGGCCCAGTAAATTACAGTGTCTTTGAGGCTGCTCTAGTTTATGCTCCGCTGCCAGTGGCCCCCCCGATGGCCTGCATTCTGGAGCCATTTCCACCCACCTTAAGCCTCCTTTATGCTACCATTATCCGTGTGACTGAGAATCGAGCCCATTGAATGGCCACGGAGGCGTCATGCTATCTACACACACATGGACATCTGAACAAAAGGCTTGTGTCAGTTCTTGGTGCCTCTCTTGTTAAGGATAGTCCATCCTCAGTTCCACACGGGAAGTCCCTGTCCAGGAATAACCATTTCAGATTGATCAAAGATCCAGTATTTAAGACCAGGGGATGCCTCACATGGATGTGTCATTGCCTTCATTTCTGTTTGCCTGATGACTTCACTTCGAATAAGAATCATTTAAAAAACAGTCCGTTGAAGAAGGCTGGGACTTCCAAATAGGTGTTTAGAC